TTATGTGAGTTTCTATAGTAACATTTTATTTTAATGCAGAACATTTAGCAGAATTTGTACATGCAATATGAAGTATACCCATGAAGATCTGAATTGGTACAACCACACCACAGACTAACCAACGATGCTTACAGAAGTGTAAGCTGAGTGCTATCTGCTAAAAGACTAAAGCTTTTCTAAACCTAGTTTTCATTTTTTCTTTAGATTGCTTACAATTTCCAATTCTTGTTTTCGTTCTTCATTGGGAAAAAAAAGAAGCACATCTGCTTAGAAGATTTTGCATTTTAACAATACAACTTCCTCGATTCTTGTGAAAGCACTGAAGACTGTCCAGATATACATGGCATTACTGTCATTTGCCCATTGCTAGTAATTGTGTTGATAAAGCAATGAGTAAGAGAAAGAACAGAAAGAAATTCAAGACAATGAGGTTAAAGGCATTTCCCCAAAAAGCTGTTTTTCCTGGGGAAAAAAAAAAAAAAACCCACAGATAAAAGGTCTCTCCTGGTGAAAGATTTAAAAAAAAACAAACCAACCAAACAAAAAAAAAACCAAAAGGCTGTATTTAAACTAAAATAAAGTTGGCATAATCTGGTACTCTGACCAGAAGTAGCATTCCCACTCTCCAGATGCTCATTTCCGCTCCCTTCTCTTTTGCTGCCATAGCTATTCAGGAAGTGATACAAACAGCCATACTGGGGAATGAACCCAGCTGAAAACAAACACTTCAAATAAACTTTTGAAGAATGAGCTACCCATCTGGTTTACCATAAAGCTGACACAGTCACAAAATGGGACACGAGTTGTGAACCCAGTGAGCGTTCAGAGGCTGTTTCTTCTCATGGCCAAATCACCAAGTCTTCAAACTATGGTTTAGAGTAAGAACTGCAAACATTCAAAAAACATTGACCTGACTGGAAACGAAGAGATTCACTACAAAACCAACAAGCCTAAGACTGAAATTCATGTAGAAATGAATGATCATTCAGTAAATCATACACACATAAGCTATTGATAATATAAAATAATGAAAAGTAGTTTGCTTCTGAAAGCCAGGCAGACAGTGGTTACCCTCAGGACAGCCCCTTGGAGATCGGAACCACAGTACGTTTATACCTAGTGTGAAATGCTAGAGCGCAACCTAAGGTTACAGCAAAGCTCACAGAATCTCAACTGAGAGAGACTATAGACAACTCTTCACCATTAATGAAGGATGCCCATAGGAGCAACATAAAGCCACAGGACTTATAGTACATACAAACTATGACAGTACCATGCAAGCATCTTTAGCTGTGTGAAAGAGAGAAATGTTAACTGGTATCTGAAATAAAATATTAGCTGTGGGGCTGTAGGCAGATGCATTACCTCTTTATAGAGAGCCAGAGGACCCAAACGTGTAAAAGAGTAGCAAAACTGAACTCGGTAAAAAGCAGCATGAGAAAACTGAAATCCAGATTTCAGAAAGACTTGAAAAGAGAATGGCCACCATGGTGGTAATTTTTGGAAAGTGAAGGGGCAGTACAGTATTATGGCAGATTTAGAGACTAAGGCTTGTATCTTCAAATCACAAGAACCATATGACTTGGCAGACCCTTGTTCATTCCCATTCTGAGACTGACGATGTAGTTTAATTTAGCTGCTATTCTAGAAATTCAGATGAAACTAAACATAAGAGTTGTGTGCAAAAGGCAATGCCATATCTATCTCACTCCCTTGAGTACCGTATCAAGAAATTACAGAACAAAAACTACATTATGTTAATTCTAGTTCTCTGACAGATCAATCACAACTGAGGGCTAAGAGCTTCCAAAAGTTTAATTTAAAGCTAAGACTATGTTTAGCTACCCCAACTACATCAAAATTCTTGACAGTACTTGCTGCAATACTTTGCATTAACTGACACACATGTATGTGTTTACGTTTACATTAACTGGAGATTTCAATAGGGATGCAGATTATCATTTCTTGCAGTTAATACTCTTTTTCCTACCATGCATTCTAATCATCAACTTAGTACTGTTCCCCATACTTACACCCATTACTCATCTACTGTCACCACCTCCAATCGTTCACATCACTGTCCACAATGTTCTACATGAAGCCAAACAAAACAAAGCAAAAGAGAGTGTAAAAGAAGAATGTAAACAGAGGTCCTCAGACTGAAAAAGGAGACATAAAATCCAGGAAGAAAACTGAAGAACAACAGAAAATATTTACAGAGCAACATGACAGCCGCTTAGCACTTTTAACAAGAGATTAAAAATATTTAAGATAATTATTACACTTCTCTGTACTGCAGAAGCACATTAAAAAAAAAAAAAAAAAATCACAGGACTCTTCATGCCAAACACTGTACAAATATCAAGACGGTTTTTGTTTGAATGATATTTCCACCTTATTACTTTTCCTAACCTTACTTCTCACTTCCCTTTTAGTAATCATCAGTTGCTGCATGGCCCTAACACTCCCCACTGCAGTACCAAAAAAGCAACTTCATTCTTTATCTGCTCTGCAATGCCAACCTCCACACCCATTTCTTACTTCCTAGTAAGCCTGCTTTCATACTTTATTGTGTCCATAATGCCTAGAAGCTGACCATCATGAATATCTGTGAAATTAATGTTATTATTCACTTTCAAATTCCTACTCAACTTGTAACTCTCAAATATGTAAAGAATTAAATGACCTAGGTCATCAGTGTGACAAAACCAATACTGTTGTTGCCTACAGAGAGCTACAAGAAGCCATACAGAAAGCCACGTCATATCCATGCCCTATACTAAAAAGAGCTGTGCTACTTCAGGAGGAGAACAATCTTTGTGATTGCCCAGCAACTCTGATGCACACAAGACTATATTCCAGGAGCAGTGCCATCAAGTACTACAGTAGCACAAAAACCTAGATTTCCTAGACTAGCTTTTTTTGTAAAGGTTTTTAGAAAACGATTTTGATGATTTGAGGCAACCCATGATAAGCAGAGCACACAAGCAAGAATGCTGTTAGACTTGCCCATACAACATAGTACATGGACTAAATACTTTAAGCTGCATTTATTAAAAAAAAATAAGCTGTAAAGGCTATTACCAAAGGTAACTCAAACACCATTAAATTATTCACTGACGTTTATGGAAGTTGAAAGTCATACTTCAGCTTGCAGACAGATACTTTAGTTGCCTTGGGTAGTCTAGGGTTTATTTTATGCAGTACTATAAAATACAGCTGTAGTGCTTCAACAGCTATGCTCAGGCCTTGATGCTTTTGCAACATTAAGGTATTTGAACTAACTGACCCTATTAGTTACATGCTGGTCTTCTACAGATCTGGTCTTCCTGACCTCTGTTCCCATTACCAGATACAAAGTAAAGAACAAAAAAAAAAAAAAAAAAAAAAGGTACTAATAAACCCTGTTAGGCACAAACTGGTTTCTGTAGACCTACCTCTATTTCTCTGCATTTAATTCCCCAGTTTACTTTAATTACAGGCTAATTTAGTAGTTTGAATGCAATGTAACACTGAACCCTAAGAGATTCACAAAGACCTCCTGGACATGAAAAAAGGGCCTAAAGATAGACATACTACATCCGGTGAGGCTCCTCTCTTGTATCAGTCTCCTGCTCTGTATCAGTCAAGCTAGAGCTGGCTTTGGCTCTGTGCACAGTATTCCCCATAGTATCCATATCCATACTATATTGTATGATGAAAAAAATTAACATCTCAGCTCATCATGCAGCTAGCATTTCACTAAATGCCCCTGAAAAAAGGTCACAAGACTGAAGCAAGGAAACACAGTATGTGTTGTCATGAACCCAAAAAAGCACCTCTCAGTTTCTCTTAAGCAATCTCAGCAGGCAACTTCACAAGGCTCAGCCATGTACATCTCACAAATAACCACTTAAAAAACAAATTCTACTTCTGTAGGATTATCCCGAGTGGCCTAGTGAGTCAGAAATTACCAAAATGCAACAGAAAGAGGTCAAAAGTGAAGTGTTAGAAGAGTTAAATAAAATGACATTCCCACACATGGACACTTCAAAATCTATCACTTCAAAAAACCATCTTCCAAACTAAGCAGGCAGAAATACATTTCAAGATGAGATACATGCATCACTAGTAAATCACAGTAAGAACCTCTCCTTAACTGAGAGCAGCAGGGCAATTTAAGAAATATAAAAATAAAAAGTTTAATGAATAATAAAAAAAAAACAACACAAAAGGTGTTCCTAAAACTCACAGACATTAGTGTTTCAAGTCATGTTTTGCTATTATCTCAATTGAATAATAATCAGGTCTTCATAGTGTGACAAATGCAACTACAGACATAAGTTTTTCCATAGCAAAGAAATTTCCCAGAGATAACTTATGGGAACACAAGTAGTAACAAACTCATAAATGCCCCTACAAATCAGCAGCAGTACTAAAAGGCTATTTTTTTCAAAAGATTCATAATTCAGATGGATTCTGGGAAGCAGCAGCTGCACTCACTCATTAACTCTTTCCATAAGGTGACAAATTCCCAAGCACCTATTCAGAACACTCCCATTTGTTCTTATGACTGTTCATCAACAAGCAGCCTTAAGAATAACTTTCCATTTTCAAACTGATATGACATCCACAGAAAGACTGCACTGCTGCGATCAGACAGTCTGCTGCACACTTCCTAAAATTACATTAAAGTCTGTGAAGTCGCATAGCCAAAACCCAACCTTTAAAAGGTAAAGAGGGTCAAACTATGGCCTTTCAAACCCTAAATTCTCTATCAAGAGAAAACAAGAAGATGCCATTACTTATTGTGTACACTGATTTGTGGACACAAAATACCACAATCAACTCTTTTAAAACAACCAAGTATCAGAGAACAACTTCTCATGAGTGAGGAAATAAGCTATATAAAAAGCAGTTAAATATGAAAATAAGTTTTGATACAAAAGATATCTGTCAACTGAAAAAAAAGATGCGAGACAGTATTTCAAGTAGGAATTAATAATACACTCAGTGCTTACCCATCTCTTCCCTTACTGACAATTTTAACTTCAAAATAGTATATGCCACACGCTGCAGGTATAGGATGTGTAGCTCGAACAGAAGCAGCATCTTTTGGAGTTTTTCCATGACCTGAAAAACAATTGTATTCAAAACACAACAAAAAATATTTTAGATAATTGCAGCAGATGACCCAAAGGTATACATACCAACTATTCAAAATAGAAGGCTTATGTAATTGAGCAAACAATACACAATATTCTAATCAACCTCATTTTTATGCTATTTTCTTCCAACATTAGGTTTTCATTGTAGGCACCTGCACTGTAACTTAAGCATGCTATGAGAAGTTCTGGATATACTCATCTAAAAGGTTTTACAATTATTTGAAGGGAAACAAGAAAAAAAGTTTAACCATAATAAGCAATGTAACTGGCAAAAGCCCACTTAGGTTTGAAAGAAATGTATACTTTCTCAAATGCACACAGCTTACTCATTTTATAGACTGAAACATGATGTAACAGCTTAATCTAATGCCCAGTGCTTCTGAATATTCAAGTTAAAATACTTTAATTCTGAATGCCCTTCAGAATAAACATCACTATATAGAATGTACAACTCATAATTTAAAACATTTCCATGTTTTTACTGCTATTTGAGGACAGCATGAGGTGTTACAGACTGCAACTGAGCTAATGCAGCTCCTACTCCTGTTTCTCATAAGGCTTACTATGTATCAGCTCTGCCACAAGAAGAATGCCCACCACCAGCTCTCGTCTACTTCAGGGGTTTTCAACCTAAACCCAAGAGCCACTTCCATTCTACTAACACTAACTCTTCTGAACATGTCACCCTCTTCACAGCCCCATTGTTCCGAAGGCAGCTTGGTCAGATGACTTGTTCTAGCAGCAACCTGTTCAAGGAAGCTCAGTGTCTCCCAGGCGCACCAAAATCCCACAATTATTGCATAAACGTTACTCATGGGGTCACAGGACACAGTTAAAAAAAATAAAATAAAATGGAGCAAGGTGAAAAATACACTAAATCCTGGCAAGAGGTATTTCAGTAGGATGGCAACCACGAACAGATGTCATTGCCATAATTAATGGAGATACCATGCCCACACTCCATGTGGATCTGAGGCATGATGAAGAGATGACTGCCTGGAGTGTGCTGTGCAAATCATTCTGGCTGCAAGCACTCCAGCTGTCATCTCCAGTCCAGACAGGGAGGCCTACTGCACCTGCATAGCAATTGTTTTGTGTATGCCAAAAAATTATAACTACACTTCTTCCAGTGGCATTAACACTGGAATTACTGCTCAGGCACAGATTAATCATGTCTCATGTACAGCAAGCCAGGTGACACAGGAAAATGTTGCAGGAAAATGACAGAAAGATAGGCACAGCTGACCTACACTCCTTCACCTCTAGGAACAGAGCCATCTAGTGAAAACGTTGATAAAACAGTAAACAGTTTATCTGCCTGCAGAGCTAGCACTATCTCTCACCAAAAGGCATACAGTCAGCCAAGGAGAACTCTCCACTGTGAATGCATCTGCATCTGAAACTGTTAACACAGCACAAATTCTTCACTCACTGAGATCAAGTTTAACCCACAAAGTTTTTCTGATGTAACCAGTTTACCTTAGTGTATTACTGTCTTTAGCTATCTTACTTTTCTGGGTGCAAATGCACTGCTCACTTCAACATGCTATTACTAAACCATCTTATATAAAGATCCCTCAATCACCTCACAGGTTTTACAATAATAAGCTTCTGCATGTTGTTTTCAGACATCTCATATGAGGAAAAAACAGTAATTTACTCCTCCATACACAAGACAGCATGCATGTTTTATTGTTCACCACTTAAGTTATTTCCTCAGGCTGTGTCAACCAAGGTAATAACAAAGTACATAAGCTTAAAGCTTCCATAGGTTTGCTTGGTTTTCAAGTGTTGGTACCTTACTATTAGCTACTATAAATTAAGATTATCATTCCTAAGCACGCAGCAATCCTTCAGCTAAAAGGCACCCAAAACTTTATGGGCAGAACGTTAAACATCTGAGAGATCCCTTAAATTCAGACAGCACTGATTAAATGATGCACTGGTTAGAGGAAGGGGTGTGGCAAAGGAAGGATACTTTCTTTTTAAATGTTCTTAGGTTTTTACATTAAAATAGGCTGCAAATAAGTTCCCTTGGTTACTCCATGCACTTGACAATCTGTGTAGTTTGAGTCAGTCTCCTTATTTGGGCAAGTCTTCCACAGGGAAGACTAAAGTAGTAGGAACTAGCCAAATATTATTGAAAATGTATATCCATCACCCAGCAGACTTTGTTTTGTGAAATCACAGTCTAAAGTGTTTGGAAACAATGCTGATTTAAGGTATTCTTAGGACCTCTTCCTAAAACAAGCTCCCTTCTCCCACTCCTTCCCTAGTCCAGACAGCTATCTGCAAAGATAAACCATGAACCAGATTGATTAGCTGATCGGGCTTTAAGAAACCTACCAGATTATTTTTTTTTAAGCAGCAGATCAGTTCCCCTATCCACTTCACAACACAGCCACACACAGCTGTCACACCACAAATAAGAGGTCGACCCAGGGGCAGAAGTAACAGGATATCTTACCAGTATTGCCAAACACCTCATGTGGTGAAGCAACATGCTTTGGGAAGTCAGTGCCCAAAACTACTTTCATTCCATTAAACCAGGAGACACCCTAAATTTAGAACTGCTGCTCTTTTAATATAATCTTCTATGAATCCCATTTTACTACTTGAGTATGTTGCTTTTATTTGTAGCTACATACAGTTATTATTTCTAACAGCAAATTCAACGGCATCAAGCACTTAACTACAAATACCTCTAATGTCTCAACATGCTACTTAGGACTTTCAATACTACTGAGCTATGCTGGACTACATGAAGAGTCACAAGGTGTTAGTTATGAGCCAGCTTTAAAATAAGAAAGAGGTTCTTTACAGAGCTGAACTGCAAAATTTCTTACTGAAGTACGTTACAGATGCTACTGTTTAAGTGGACGCTGGGCAAGCTTCTAGAACAGAAGTTACCTGAGAAACTGCCTTCAGCTCAGGATGCCATTTGGCTTAAAATGGCTGGAAACTCAGAGGGGAACACACAGATACACCTCCTTTCTAGATTTTTCTGTAGGGACTCATTTATGGCTGCTGTCACTGATAGGACACTGAGCTGAGTGGCCCATTAACTTGGCATTATATACTGCTGTCATGTTCCCTGCTAACAAGAATCCCCACTTCCCTGCTTGAAAGAAGCAACTTTGACACCCAACTCCAAATTTCTGAATTGGAGGGTCCAAATGCCTGAAGTAGATCATGCGAATGTTACCCTATGTTCCCTATACCAGGGAACATAGTTCTTTCATAGTTGCAAACTACAGTTAAAGTATTTTAAAGAATACTTTTAAAGTATGTACTATTTAACACCAAAATTTGATGATTTTCAGCATTAAAAAGAGAATTCTGCAAACAGATGCACTGGGGCAGAGAAGGGAAAATAGGTGTACAAAGCTCAGACTTTACACTGTAAACCAGATCTCAGGTAAGTTCAATTACCAGAACTGTTTTCAATTGGGCTTTCATTAAAAGTGCTTATCAACCATGAGTTGACCATGATAAAGGAATAAAGCTTTAGATTTTAAGCAGTTATTTACAATGATGATTTTTACTGAAAGTGCCCTTTAGCAAAGTTTACATAAACTGAACTGCAGTTATTTCCAACAGGTGGTTCAATGACTTGTGCTGCCAAAAATAAAATAATCAAGGCCTAACCTGCTGAATTCATTAGGAAAGTCCCACTCAGACAACAGGGTGGAAGGAACCCAAAAACAAAACCATGCACAAATTACTGATTTTACTTCAACTTTTCCCCCAGTCAAGAAAAAAGCAATATATCCCAGAGCTACAAACATGTCCAAAACAAGCATACTGAACTGAATGTACTTCAAGTGTTTTCTGCCAGAAAAAACTGACACCATCCTTGTACCAGTGAATGACAACATTATTACTACTGAATCCTCCTCTGGTTTAGTTATTTCCTTTTCTGTTACAGAAATTGGGATGTACGGTTTGTACTGAAAATAAAACTTTTCTTTTCTTTTTTTTTCTTTTTTTTTTAGTTTGGCACTAGAGGCAGTTCAAAGGCAACTGCATTGTAAATAAATGTCTGGCTAAGATTTCCTGGCCTGTAATACATTAGAAAAAGTTCACACAATAGCAGCTTACTCAAATTGCATAACTTTCCTCAGCTTTTTTTGGACAACTGTCACAAGACTAACTTAAGTGAAGTTACTAGAGGACTTTCCATGGTTTTAGAACTAATGCTTTAGTCTGTTTACCTGTTTCTGTATATAGTTTCCTTCATGGCTACATCTGCATTGAGTCTGTATTTTTATCCCCTTATACTACATAGCATAGATTATTATCTGCTGGAAACTGAACTTGTCTGTCTAGTGGCACATTCGTATTACATGCAGCATTTACGAAATCCATTTTTCCAATGAGATACATGTGTTAATTCTAAATATTTTAGATATGTAGAAAAATGTTAAAAGATGTTTTGCCTTCAGAGCTACATATTTTATGCGGTTAACTCCTTTACATTTAACAAACATTTGTCTGAACCCTTATGCTTATGCTGAACCACCTCCCCACAGCTCAGAGCTGTTAACATTACAATTAAGTGAAGTGACTAACTTTTTTTTTCTGCTACTGTTTTTCATGTTTCCCTTACATAGATATACCATGTACAACAGCCACTAGGACAGCGTTAGCATTTTATCAGCTTACACAGCTAACTGGCACCAACACAAAAATGTACGTCTGCCCAACTAAAAACCAAAACCACCCTTGGGTATAGTCTTTAATGTATATTACAGCATCACTGATGCCAACATACATGTATTTCACATCCAGAGTTTTACAGAGCTTCCTAATCAAGAGTCAGAATTTATAAAAGTATAACAGAATAGCTCACTGTGGAAAGAAATTAGCCTGCTCTGGTAAACAACACAGCAGTCAATGCCACCTTCCCTGAAATCACCTCCCCATGTATGTTTTCCTTTTTTAAGGAATGCTATGATTTTGAGAGATAATACAACAGACCACTGACCCTTGGGTTTTGTTGACACCCAACAAAATTTAAAGAGCTGGTATCCCGATGCTAGATTGTACTCCTTTCTTTAAACCTCCACTGCTTGATTAGTGCCTGGTTTTGTGGAAATTTTGATTTTTACACACTCTCTAGGATGCTTGTAAAAAGCTTCAGGTCCAGAAATGCAGCACACAAAGCATCACAAATGCAATAGAGAGAGACATCTACTGCAGCTCATGTTTCCATACAAGTTGTCCACTGGTATGCAAGCAAATGAAAAAAATCTTCAAAATTACACAGGGAGGACCACCATTCCTGTCACAAACCAGTAAAACAAAAATATCACTGCTCACAACACATCAGCACATTAAAATTATGAAGCTAATTATATGAAAAAAAAATTACTTTGAAAGCTTTTGCTGTGATTGTTGTCCCCCCCCCATTTTTTCAGAGGCAAGTATCCCCAACACATTCAGGGTGGAAGGAAAGCACTGTTACCTCTTTGTACCTTCCATCAGTCTCAGACAGAAGGAAGTTACTCAAGAAAAACCGTTCCATAGTGAAAAATCTACAGAGACACCAGAGAAAGCTTAAGTGCACAACTTCAGAAACACAGTATAGTAAGAATTGCTTTTAATTACTGGCTTCTTTGAACAATCTGTCTTCTCTCCCTTCCCTGAGTATCTTGGTCAAGAATACAACAGCTCTTTATCCATGCTCAATGCCCTGTTCAATTTCCTTTTAATAAAAACATCTACCATTCTTCCACCACTACTCAGATCTAACTTCAGAAGCACTGAAAGTGCCAATATTCCATGATACTTTGAATGCTTTTGATTGTGACTTCTACTTGCAAGTGAATTGTAGAAACAAAATTTTGCAGTGCTAAGCACATTCTTATTTCCCATCTTCCCTTATTCTCCTCATGAACCTCCTCATTTTCTTCACTGTTACTGTATTCTCACGGCTGAAGGATCCAGAAGGGAGAAAAGGCAGCAGATGTTTTAGTGGGTTTTTCTCCCAGTTCTCAGGTAGGAATGCCCCAATACCATCAATTGTGTAGCCTGTTTAGCAACTCCAGGTGCCAGGCTACAAACACATACATGGGGCTGCCCTAATAGCCACCTTCCTTAAATTACCAGGAAGATGGGCCACTTAAGAAGCCATTCCCTCACACTTGCAGTTAGGAGAAAGAAAAGTTTATACATGTTATATTGGCACCTCTCCTTTTCAGAGTCCTCTGGGCTAATCTAGGAACTCTTCAACCTTCATTACTTTCTATTATTAAAGGACTAGGGTAAAGGTACTTTATTGTGTGCTTTCTGACTTCTGGTAGGGTATCCACAGTATTTCCTATGTTACCTGTACTTCAGAAACATGCTGAGCCACTTGTAATTTCTTTGAGGTAATCTTTTTTTTTAAACACTAAGGCAAAGAAAAGACGTGAGGAAAAACAAAGATAGCGCCAAGAAACCTTGAAAATACACTTCTACAGTTGCACTGACAGACCAGGGAGATTCCATCTCTAAATTCTACTCCATGAGCAAAAGGAGTTGGTCAAAGCTAAACAAAACAGCAGGAAGACTTGAGGGCCACAAAACTATGACCATCTTAGAAGGAAAACCAAAATGAAACAAAAATAACAAGAAAAGCCCAACCCGCTGCCACCAAGCACCAGAAAATACAAAATGCTTCTAAAAATACAAGGTCATAAAGCACTGAACAAAAGCCAGGAAATTCAGAGTTGAGTACTAAATTACACGTCCTTAAATCACTCAGCGCCTCCCAGAAACCTGCTCTATAGTCATCAGCCTCCTTTATTATCTTTGTATGGGGCATTAAACTTAGCATTTTTAACAGAATATTTTGTATGTAATAATAATGGCTCTCTGTAAAGTCTCTGAGAGTACATTAAATCCCTTCATGGCAGCCAAATCCTGCCATGTGTTTGTGTTCCCGTTTTCCTCCTCCGATTAAACAGTTACATGTTTATCGAGATTCCAGTTGAATTTCTCCACTGTAAACTCTGAAAAAGGGTAACTGCAAGGTTGTTTCTTTCCCCTCCCATTACGTTCATTTGACTACAGACTGACAAAAGATCCAGTTCTTCGCGGCCAACTCAGATGTGGTTTTGAATCTGCACCACTTCTACTTTAGGACTTGGGCCTAGAACACCAGATGTGTCTGTGTTTTTTCAGGTCAGAGTGTACGCTTATGTTTCCAGGTTTTATGACATTTCATAACAAGCAACACAAATTTTTCTTCCATCCCCTCTTGCGAATTTACACAAATGCATACTCCAATTTTTACCTCTGAAAGTCGGTAACTTTAACTATGAAACATCTAGGCAGAAAGTTATATAGTCACCTTTATTAACACAAGCCCTATTAGCATTCCTCCCCTCAAATCACTCTGCAGGCTGCACAACAGTTAGGCTAAACTATTATCAGTGGTTTTAATTCCATTTTTCACCGTCTAAAAAATAAACTGCGTTTTTATCTGTGCTTTCCCCTCCCGTCATTTCCGTGTTTAACAGCTTAACCCTTGCTCTTCTCTCTCGAAAAAAAGAAAAGCCACTTCTTTCCTGGCTCATTACCATAAGCCGGACACGTCATGCCGATTCTCCTTTATTCTCCTGCCTCAAACCCAAACCTTCTGGTGATACCTGAATCCACGGAGGAAGTCTCAGAGTTTACATAATGCCCACTCCAGGAGCACAAGGAGGCGGAGAAGGGGGGTGGGCGGCCCCTTGCCCCCCCCCCTCCCCCCGCACCGCGACAGAAGCTGGGGGAGGGGAGAGAAAATAAAGCTGAAATAAGGAAAACCAAGACTGTTCTCACGCTGCGGGCAATTTAGGGGATCGGAAGGCAGAAAAGGAGAAGAAAGAGGGAGAGGAGTGTGTGTTATTTCCTGTTATTGTTACTCCCGTGCCCACCGCCCGACGGAGGGGTCGGCCCGCAGCCCCCGGCCCAACGAGGGCCCCCGCTCCCCGCCGGGGCCGGAGGAGGTTGGCGGCGGCGAGGGCCGGCCCTCACCTTTGTAGTGTACCCGCAGGTTGTTCTGAGAGAGGCCGATGTAACTGAATTTGTCCTTCGGGCTCCAGGAGCGGGGCAGCGGCGTCTCCTGCTCGTCCACGGCCGGGTAGAGCCTCTTCAGCCGCCGTTTTAGCTCCTTCTCCTGCTCGTTCAGAGCCGGGTCACCGTGCGGGAACGGCGCCGGGGCACTCGTGCCGGTGGTGGTGCCGCTGCTCCCCGCCGACAGGCCCAGCGCCGCGCCGGCACCGCCGCCCCCCGCCGCCGCGGGCCCGCTGCCGGCGGCGGCGGCGGGTGGCGGCGGCGCAGCGGTGGCCGGCGGCGGCGGCGGGTGTAGCAGGAGCGCGGCCGCCGGTGCGGGGCCGGGGTTGGCGGCGACGGCGGCTGATGGGATCCCCGGCGCCGGCGGGGGAGCGGCGGCTGCCAAAGGGAGCTGCTGCGGCGGGGATTGTTGTTGCTGTTGTCCGGACATCCCGGCTCCGGCCTCCTCCTCCGCCGCCACCTCCCGCGGTCGCGACTGTCACCGGACAGGCCCGGCGCGGAGCGACAGGCAGGCCCGGGCGCTGCGGAGTGAGACTGCCGTCGGCGGGTCACCCCCAACCCGAGCGTCTCGGAAGGGGGCGGGGTGCTGGGGAGCGATGACGACGGCGGCGGCGGCAGCGGCGGCCCGATGGGAGCTGCCCGGTGGAAGCGCCGGGTGCGGCGGGCCCAGGCCGGAGGGAGTGAGGGCGGGGAGAGGAAAGCAGAGAGCAGCGGCGCCCGGCGGAAGCGAGGCGGGCGGAGAGCGCGCGCCAGGCGCCACGGCAAGGCGGGCAGGCGGGTTGGCTCCCTCCTCCTTCTCCTCCCCCCCCCCGCCTTCTCCGGTGGCGCGCGCGCGCGCGTTCTCGCTCTGTCCGGCGCGACGCCGCCGCGGTGCGTCCCCGAGTCAGCTGAGCCCGGAGAGCGGCGGCGGCGCGAGGGCGGGGAGAAGGGGCGGGGCCTCCGCGCCGAGGCGCGAGGGCGGCGGTGAAGCGCTGAGGGAAGTGGGGGCGAGCGTGAGCGGCGGTCTGTGCCGCCGTCGGTGGCAGCGGATGGGGAAGATAGGTGGGGACAGACCGGTCCGGTGGCTGGGTGGGTGCCTCCTGTCAGGCCCGGCCCGACTCTGGCGTCCCCGTGCCCCGCGGGCTGTGCCGAGGCACAAGGCCAATGAGAAGCAGGAGAGAGCAGAGCTGGGCAGGGCAGGGCGGCTCACGGGTGCCAGAGAATTTTGGGGGTGCTTGTGGGTACTACACCAGGCTGATAGGGTCAAAGGGAGCAAGGGGGGTAGGAGGGAGTGGTGTTTGGGGTCTTTTTCATAGAATCCGCTAGGTTGGAAACGACCTTTAAGATTATCAAGTCCAGCCATTACCGCAGAACTGACACCACCACTAACCCATGTCACTGAGGGCCATGCGCATGTTTTTTGAACACTTCAGGGACTGTGATTCTGCCACTTCCCTGGGCAGCCTCTTCCATTGACTGAGCACCCTCTCTGTGAAGAAATTTTTCCTAACATCCAGTCTAAACCTCCCCTGGCACAGCTTGAGGTTGTTAGCTTTCGTCCTACCACTTGTTAGTTGGGAGACCAACCCCCACCTCACTGCAACCCTGCAACCTCCTTTCATGTAGTTCTAGAGAGCGATAAGGTTCCCCCTGAGCCTTCTCTTCTCCAGACTAAACAACCCCAGTTCCCTCAGCTGCTTCTCATAAGGCTTGTGCTCCAGACCCTTCACTGGCTTCAAGGCCTTTCCTTTCTCTTCCTTCCCAGCCACCGCCCCCCCGCCCTGTGGTTGTTTTTTTGCATATAATTTTGTTGATTGATCAGTGATTGCCTGCTCTGATAATTTGTGTCAGCAGTGAAACATTCACAGGCAGGCAAACAGGGCTTTGAAAACATTGGAAGAGGAAGGGAATAAGGGAATTTCTCTGGCAGGTCTAAAACCTGAAACATTGGGCATGTCACAAGCCATTTCCAGCTGCCAGTGTGTTGTACAGAAGCAGGAAATAGAGGAGGTTAATTATGCTTTACCTGTGTGAAACAGCTGGTGAGGTAATGGAGGTGTGACACTCATAAAGGCATATACGAAGCTAAACATTTCTTCCTTATAGTCACCTACATATCCTGTGTCACGAGACTGCTCTGTAATGTCTAATAGCATCTATGGCTTAACAAAATGCAATTATCTGAAAACACCCTATCAAAAGGAGCTGCAGACTACACAAGAGTAGAAATGCCTAGGGCAGACATCAGAACATGTGCTGGATCCTGCCCGTGGGTCAATTACCCTGGCACTGGTAGGCTACCTCCCACTAGATTTAAGTTTGCTTTCTAATACCTAGAGGTTGTTGTAAACCATCAAGCTTAGTAGTTTGGACTTATTTTTTTAAGAAATACAGTGTTTGGCTGCATAGACTTGGAGAATACATTTGCTATGCTCAAAAGTGTAGGTGTGTCTTAACTATTTTTCTGAATGTCAATAAATTTTCTGCCACGGCTACTTTCTGAGTCATGGCTCACTTAGCATTTGTGCAGAAATATTTCATGTCATCCATTTTGAGATTGCCACCATCAAGTTCCTGTTTCTTGTACAATAAGAAAGGAGAGTAAGCACTTGAGTGGTTAATTCTTGATGTTACCTGCTACTGATTGCTTTTATCCTGTCATTTACCATTTTCCTAGGATAAGTGATCCAAATCTATCAAAACACTGTTTTCTATAAAAGCCTTTTCCCCCAAGCATGCCCCCAGACAGACTCATCCACATCACTTTTTCTGAGGTAGATATGCTTTAGACTATGCCAGAGGAGAAAAATTCTTTAATGTAGAGGTATTCTAATACTTGGTATTAAGCAGTTTGTTATTTATTCCTTCTGTGTTCCTCTAGCTTAGTTGTTTTCTCACTAGAGCTTCCCGAGGATTAGACATAGCACATAGATATTTATATAAGTGCCCAATTGCTTCTTTTCAGTTGTCGTAAATGAACTGGAACTTGTCAGCTTTAGAAGCAGTACTCGTTCCTCTCTTAACGTGTGTTATTCTGCATTTTCAATATTGAACCTAATTCACCATTACATGATGCATTCTGTTTCGTTAAGACTTCTTCATCATCACAGTCCCCTCTTGTCTTGCTTAACTGAAATAATTACGGCAGCTGCAGATTTTACTGACTGATAATACAGCCCTCTTTTAGATCAGTGGTAAACACAGCAACAACATGAGACTTGGGACACAGCCCTGAAGCAGGCTGTTGTTAACCTTCCGCCATTGCAGAAACTCACTGTTGAATTCTCTTCTTTGTTTCCCAGCTCCAGTTTTTGAGCCATGATAGTACTTTTCTTTCTGTCCAGTGATTACTGAGCTGCTTGAGTTGTCTGTACCTTAGGGATTTAATTGAAGGCTTTTTGAAACGCTGTAAAATATTAACTAGTCCACTAAAATCACTTTGGGTTTTGGGTGGGTTTTTTTGACACTTCTGTTTTTTTGGTTGGGGTTCTGGGTTTTTATTTTGACACTTTCAAAGAATTTCAGTAGATGGATGATCTAGAAATTATTTTGCTTTGCAGAAAAGCCTTGTTAGGCCTAATTTCATACACAGAGAGTCTCTTCTGTGTGCTTGTTCTTTATTTATGTTTAATTTTAGTGACCATTTCAACCAAAGAAAATGCAATCCAAGCATTCTAGTAACTGAGGGTTTTTACTTGACCTCTTGTTGAATGTATCAACAGGGTCTCAACATAGTGGACAGGGGTTTTTAAAGCAAGTGCAGCTCCATCACACGAGGGCCCAGCTCTTCCAGGCAGGCACGATACACAGGCATCAGCTCACTGTTGGTACATTCCTCCGGGAGTGCAGAGCCAGAGGAGAGGGGAGAGCAGCCCCTGAATGACACCCTCCAGGCAGCATCAGTAAGAATGAAGTTCTCTTGATTGCACAAGCACACCTTCTTCTCACGCGGCTCTCAACAGCAGAGTGTTCTGCATGGCCTCTGCATGGCTGAGGTTCATGTAACTCCTGAATCCTGTGTTGGCTGCTCTATTTTCTTTAAGAACAAGTAAGTGGGCTATGGCCATCTGTGCCAATGGTACTGATAGCATTCTGGTTATCATCAAGAACCAGAGGCCAGATTCTCCCTGGGTGTCTATTGCTGTACATGTCCTTTGTCCAGCCTGTAGGACCAAGCTTCCTATTACACGAGTTTAGTACACATGCCTGATGAATTTCCAGCCACTTTTTCTCTGAAATCTAGTATCTCCTGTTTGCAGTGATGGTAACTGTTTGCTGTTCTTATTTAGTATTTCTCCTGGTTAAGTTTTTCCAGTGCATGATTTCTTTGTAACTGTTTTGGAATTAATTTCCCTGCTTCAAGAAGCTGCTTGGAAATCACCAGTGTGTTATTTCTTTTTGCAACTACTGTGCTGAGTTACTGGTCCTAATCAGAAAAGAAAACCACTAAGAAGTATACTATGGCATTTCAGCAGTGTTAAGGATAGATCTCTTCAAACTACCTGGGGGAATTTTTTGCTGAGCCCTTTGCTATTTGGAATATTTTTTCCTGCTAATTTAATTGTTTATATATAGGATAGGCTTGATGAACTGACAAATGAAAGACTTGCCAAAATGAATCATGTATGAATTATAGGCCATCATCAGCTATTAACTTGGTTGAATCAAATGGTAATCAAGTTGCAATTTACAGTATTACTATATTGCTGCTCACACATAACATGGTGCTTCTGCTTTTATGAAACTGAGCAATCCGCTAATAGAAATAATTTTGTCATATGAGTCAACTATACCTGTGCCTATCTTAGGCCAGGAGTGATTAGAAATCTCTCAATTGCCAGTGCTTCAGTCATGGTATATATATATATATATTTATATAGATGAAAAAATATATAGGGAGAGATCTATATCCATTTGTACAGCAGCGTGTATACACAGCAGGAGCAGGCTTGTTCTCTGTATTCTCTTTTTACCTTTCCAGTGTGTACATGGGTGTCTATGGGGACCCCAAGTTCTATAGAAGTACAATCCACTCGTTGTACAAAATCTCACCAAATTTAATTTCTGTAGTCAAATTTCTTTCAGTTTCTTTAATTGTTAATGAGTTTCAAGTTTATTCATAGTTAAATTCGTGCTTTTCTTTCAAAGCTCTTCACCATATTCTCTTTCCACACTGAAGAACAATTATTTTTGATCATTTTCTGGTGCATAGAGTTATTGTTGTTTGTTTGTTTGTTTGTTTTCCCCAGTATTAAAAGACAGTTTAAGGAAAATTGAAAATCTGTTCATGGGGATAGATCATAAACAGAGGATTGCATAGTCTCTGCTGTCTGGGCTACTGTACAGGCATCATATTCTAACTAGAATGTCAAAATGAGCACAGAAATAAAATGAAAAGAATGTTTATTTGCAAGACAAAATTGTGTGGGAGCAGGCTAGAAAATATGATGAAACACATTGGTTTATTCCTTTTGTGAAAACAGACAGCAAATCATAACACTATTAGAAGTGATTCTCAGCTAGCAGGTCAAGATCCATTTCTGAGTCATGAATTTCAGCTTAGGGCAGAAGCAAGTTGGTATGATTTAAATGTTTAAAAATTCACAGTGGCCAGAATTTCTACAGTAAAAGAGTTTGTTTGGCCAGATCAGCTTGGACTGAAAAATCCCTTTGTGGTATGTAACCAAGTGAAGTGAGGTTGAGGAACAGAAAGAGATGGAAGGAAAGAAGGAAGGGACTAATCATCCAGTCTCCTTGGACTAATGACTGAAGCACTCTGCACTCCTTTTCCGCTTGCCCAGTCTGGGTGCATTGGCAGTCTGACTCTTGAAAGTTCCTGGAAGAGTTCCAGTACCCTTTTAACTGACGAGGGGGCAGGTGGACCATGAAACTGCCGAGTCTGGAAA